AATCCAGAGAAAGTTGAACCTTATACTATACATATTATTAATGCCACGTGAGACTGTGTTACTGAGGGTGATCATATTCTTTTTCTCAAGCAAGATTTTGGCAGGTTGTGGTTACCATGGAAACAGACATCTTTAGTGCTCTCAATTTCGAGAAGATATTCTATTCATTAGTTTATGCAGTCCACTTGTCCCACCACCTGCTGGCACCAGAATTTCATGTGAGAGTCAGTACTTCTTTGTGAAGAAAAATGAATGTGTACCTTTGCTTGTCAAAGTAGTATAGACTCTTTGATGGCCTCTTGAGGGCTCTTTGTCCTTGCAGACAGTATATCTTCCTTTAGAATCATGATTATTGAGGATCTTTTCTTGTTTAGTCTAGTAATCTACATCTAAAACTTAAAGTGGGCACAGGTTTCTTGGAAAGGAGACATCAGCAACCAGAACAATTTGATGAACATGTGTCATAGCTGAGGCGCTGCTCCCAAAAGAGCAATCCTTTCAAATTAGGAATCAATAATTAGGTGCCTACAAAACATCCACCATTTGTCTAAACATATGACTTATCAAGAAGGTAAAAAAATTGTACACAAATAAACAACAAAAAGACCAAAAAAAAAAGAATGCATATGTAGTAATGGAAAAGATCTGGGAAGATTGGGGAAAAGAAGTAGGTGGTAAAAGGCCTCTTCCTAGCAGGAACTGCCTTTCAAATACATTTATCCAGGGGCTGCGGATGTGCTTCAGTGGTACAGTGCATGCTTAGCATGTGCAAGGCCCTAGGTTCACTCCCCACCAACACACATGCACACACACACACACACACACACACACCATTACCCAGCACCTGGTATTCACTGTGAGGAATATGCAAGTCCTCCTTTAAGAAGCTTACAAACCGGAGAGATAGATTTGTAAACCAATACCAGTTGCTATAGCTCGAGTTTACAATGTCCCCAGGGGCTTAGGTATTGGAACCTTGACCCCCAGCTCATTACATGGTTGGAGGGAGGTGGAACCTTTAAGAGGTGAGGCTCAGTGGGAGGAAGTTAGGCCTTTCGGGGTATGAGCTTGAACAGGGTGTCAGGGTCCTGGCCACTTCTTCTCTGTTGGTTTCTTGGTTCCCATTAACAGGGCTCCTCTATCACATGTTCCTGTCATGACATACTATGCTGCCACAGACTCAAAACAATAGAGCCAAGTGACCATGGACTGAAACCTCTGAAACCATGAGACAAAATAAACCCTTCCCTTATCAAGGTGACCATCTTAGGTATTTTTATTTTGTCACAGTAATGGAAAGCTGACTAACAAGCAGTTAATATAATATAAAATAGGACAAATGAAGAGAAAAAGATTTTCACCTTAGAGATGTTTATCTCTTAAAGAAATACCAGGAATAAATCTGGGAAAACTAAGGGAGGACTAGTTTTCATGAAAAAAAAAAAAATCTAGCACTCAGGAGACTGAGGTAGGAGGATCACTGTGAATTTGAGGCTAGCCTACATAGTAAAATCAAGACCAGCCTAAACATAGTAAGACCTTGTCTCAAAAAACAAAAAAGAAAAAAAGTGAAGTACAGTTCAGAATTCCAGCACATTATCTGTAGATCATGTTGCTGTATCTGGGACAACAAAGTTAGTGAGGATTGCTCCAATTCCCTTGAAGGTAGGTCTTAGTGCTTGACATCTTTCATACATCCCTTGGGATATTAGTGTTCATTTAAAAATATTTCAATGACTTTTAATTTTTAAGAGTATAGTACAAAGTGCCATATTACCAACAATCAAAGGACCAAGGGAAGTTGCTCTATGTAGAGAGCCACAATACTGATTATGCCCAAAGCAGGCTGTAAGCAGTGTAGGCTGTGAAGAGTTAACCCCACAATTGACTTATTTTGAGAAGCAAGTCCAGCCGAAGGCTACATGCCAAGGTCAGAGTAACTCGCACCCAAATTCTGTACCCACACCTAAAACCTTCTTACTGGAAGGTTACAATGTTCTAATTACAACCATATATTTGTCTATTCTCTTCCTAATTCAAAATGCTTTGTCTTGTCCTTTACCAGCCCTGTCTCCATTAGTTTCCACAGAAACCACACTACTGCACATCTTTTCACAGAGTCCTGCCCTTGTACATAGCTTGTCTTTACTAATTTGATTACTAATAAAAATGAATGGCTTGGATAGATCAGAGACTTTTGCTAAAGCAGCATTGGCTATCCTGGTGCCCCACTTTCTTTCTCTCCTATTTCTGTCTTTTAGGGGTTTTTTTCCTCAGGCTTGCATTGTACACTGAGCAGGAGACTGGAGCCTACTCCAGAGGTTTCTGGTAATGTTTCAGGGGTTTTCAGTAGTTCTGGTTTCCCTACCCAAGGGAAAACGCTTTCTCATTAAATGTTGTTATTCTAGCCCAGGACTGGGAGAAAAATATGTAGGACAAATACAGTATACAGCCTGAGCCCTTTTCTCTTGGGAAATCATAAGATTAACAGATAATGACTTTCTCAGCCAGCGCTCTTAAACCAAGTGTACCAAAAGGCTTCTGTCCAACAAGCAAGGAGAACTGTTCTGGGAGGTAAAAGTCCCTAACATCTGCAACTTACCTGCAGAACCCATCTTGTTTTAGATGGTTTTGGTTTGCTTTGTGATGGATATGGCTAAATACCAAGAGGAACCCATTCTTTGCTTAGTTCCATTAGGGGAAGATAATTTAGGACTGGATATGGCCATGACCAACATTTCTGACAGAAATAATGTGATAAATAAAAGAGGTGAAACATAATCCATCCTATCTCCATCCCACTTTGCAGAAACCATTGCCCACACTGCCTCTGGAGAAGCAAACATACCTGCTGGCTCTGCCTCAGTTGTGTTTGCTCTACTGAGTATCTGCCTTAGACTGACTGCAGAAAGCAGTGGCATATCTGAATGTAGAAAAAATGGGTGAGAGAATCCCCTTAATTAGTTGTAATTTTCATCTTAATAAACATTGAAACTATGGTATAACTCAGAGTAAAAGCATCCATTTTGGCATACCCTACTATACCAATTCTGCTTATCCATAGTAAAAGATACCATATGAAATGCAGAATTTAAAACTATTTTAAGGCAAATGATTTAAATAAAAAGAATGTTGCATACTTATTTTAAGTGATTTTAATTTTGTTAATATTATTTTCCAATTCAAAAGAGAATATTGCACAATGCTTTAATATTTTAATTGTTTTTTTTCACACTGATGAGATTTCTGTGAACATAGTTGACTTTGAAAATAACACAGAGTTGGTTAAATAATTTCAGTCACCTGTGAAGAGCTAAAAACAGGATATTACATTCATATAAATCACAAGTACATAAATTCACTTAGCTTCAGTGAAAAATAATTAACTTCTCATGTAATTCACAAAACTTAAAGGAGACAAAGTTAAGAATGGTGTGAAAATAGAATGCATTTCCAAAATTTTTTCTTAAATGTACTCTTTTGCTTTTGAAAATCCAGTAAACCTATAATAATTCTAAAAATACTTGACTACTTTTGTAAGCCTCTTTATTGGAGAAGCTAACACCTGATACTTTTAAAACAAAATCTAGATTAAATAAATACATATCTGCGCTATTAAAATACACATCTGTGAAGGGTAAGATAAAATTCCCCAAATAACATAAACAACAAAAAAAAATCCCAGAAAATAAATGATTACATCATGGAATCTAAACACATTTCTGTTTAAATCTGTGACTATCACATTTTCTATAGAGAATGAATACAGTTGTTATTCAATAACTATGGAATAAATGCTGCAAATTATAATGACCAATTTCCAAAACTTTATAAACCTATTACAGCAATTTTTATTCCTTTCCCTTTTTCCCTTCTAATTAGTATTTTCAGTAACTGCATAGCACTGGGCATGAAGAGGAGGACATGTGCCTCAGGTGACAAATGTGTGTTTCTTTTAAAGTTCTATTTTGCACATTTGCTGTTTTTAATGTTGACCACACAATGTATGAACACACTCTACTTTTGCCACTTATGTTTTTTATTTATTTCCCGGAAAATTCAACCACAGCATTAACAGAAAGGGCAAAAACATTACATTCCTGATATGTCATTTACTCTTGCTTTGCTACTGATCTGGAGAAGGCATGAATTATTTCAGTGGTGTTTGTGTCTGTTAATTCTTGAACTAGATATTCCACACTGTGAATTTTTTTTATAGTAATATACAAGTTCTTCACATTCTGTGAACATTTTAGGCATCTGACATCTGGTGTATTTTATTCTATCCATGCCTTCATCAAACCTCAATGCTTTATGAAATACTTGGAAAAAGTCTGCAGAAGATACTCTCAAATAACAGTCCTATCAAAAAGAGAAACATAAAATAATGATTTAGTGGAATTATTGTTCCTTCACTTGGAAACACAGATTCTTTTATTATATTTCAGGAAACATTTGTAATTCTACTCAAAATGATTCTCAATATATTGATGACTGGAGATTTATTTATAATCAAAGTTGAATACATTATGTGGTTATGGTCCTAGAGTAGTGCCAGGATTGCAAGTGAAGGCAATGTTTTCTATGATATATCCAAATGTTTTGCCATCAGAGTTATAAACATTGAGAAATAGGGAACTTAACTGTGAGTCAAAAAATATAATGATACAAAAAAAGTCTTCTAATTGAAAATGTCGTTACAGTTCAACATTTTCACAAAACAAAACCCAGTAATAGCAATTAAAAACATCTTCACACATACATACTCTAGTTTTCTGAGTCAGTAATCAGAGCCACAGGAGGTTATATGATGCTTCCACAATTATTCAAGGTAGGGCAGCCTACTATAGCATTTATTTTATTTTATTTTTTAAAAAACCAAAAATAAGGGCAAGGGATTTAGCTCAGTGGTAGAGCACTTGCCTAGCTAGCATGAGGCCCTGGGTTCAGTCCTCAGCACCAAAAAAAAAAAAAAAAAAATTTAAGGTGAAAAGCAAAAATAATTTTAACAAAACATAGTTCTTTAATTTATAACATGTTGAATATGATTTGACAATTCCACAAAGTATACTTTAAAACCTTCCAAGGTTACATAAGGAAGGAAATTTAGCATGAATTTTTCTACTGCAGAGACTTGGTGGCCCCGTGGGCTTATGCGCCTGGGTACAGCATGTGGACTGGAGAGATGACCCAGTGGTTTTAACTGTGTGGCTGGCAGATATCTGTAACACTCGGAAGCATTCTCTTTAATCTCACTAAAGATATGTTGTAAATGTTTTCTTCATTAAGAAATTGATGTCTCAGCTCTTACTTTATCTTTAAATTTGTTTTTTGTGGGTTTTTATTAGTACATGTTTGCAGTACATAATGTTCACATTCTCTGCAGGGAGCTGGCACACATATGTAACACATCTTAATTCTTTTTCATTACCTTGCCTGGCCCTCCCTCCTCTTCCCTCCTCTCCCTCTCTTGATCCCCTTCCCATTTGAGAAAGCTCTCTCTCCCTATTTCCTATTATCTAGCTTTTTTATTCTACTCTTTATTTATATTTTGGGTTTCTCTTGTAAGACAAACCATGTGATATTTTAAAGTCATCTTTAAAAACCTCATTGAAAACATGTCCACACTAACAGTCTTTTTTAAGGTACAGTTTTTAAAACCTGAATTAGTAAAGTTTCAAGTAGACTTTATTGTCATATAAACCTAAATTCAACAGCAGCTCTGACACTGAGATTTGAATAATAGATGTTGTGCTTTTTAAATCTTTAATGAATGTACTTTTTATCTTTAAAGAATATATTTCTCTACCTGCATGTAGCTACAAAAACCTATCAAAAACGGGGTGGGGTAGGGGGAATTTATCTATCTTTGTATTTTTCTAACTTTTTAACAAGACACTAACATTATCTAGGTTGGCTTTTATTTGCAAGTTTCATTGGAGCAGAATGTGAGAAATATCTTGGCATCACAGTTATTACATCTTGTACATATACATAAATAATGAAAATAGAAATAGAATTAAATTGTCAGTTGAAGTTGTTCCTGTTTCCCTTGTTGGTTAAACTGGCACATCTCCTTTTTATTAATTTGTTACGCATGAAAATCAGTCTATCCAGGGATTTTGACTCAGAACACCAAGAAACGCAACTTTAAAAACTGGTTTTAAATATTTAAAATTAAACTCCCAAATCAGAGCATTATTTGTTGGTACTGCACCATGATCAGAATGATAGCCTTGTACAAGTGATAATAAAAGTTCTTCCAGCGTCTCCAGTGCCTAGATGTTACCTCTTTCATTTACCCTGGGAAGTAATAGTGTTGTGCTTTCTTTTCATCAGAAACAACAAATTAACAAAAAAAATTATGTTATCATTTTGAGTGCAACAATACCAATACTTTGGAGAGCTGACAGTGTATTCTACTGATACATTTGCCATAAACTATGAAAAAAGAGAAATCACATTACAGTGTATTATAAAAATAAATTACATATTATGTGCCCATGGACCTGAAAGCTTTGCAAAAGGAGGAGATATTTCTCTTGACACAAAGATTCAATTGCTCTTGCTACCTATTTTCATGTTATCAGTAAGGCTATTTTCAGCTTTTACATTATATCCTGAAAAAAAAATCACCGGAAGTAGTGAAATATTTCCAGTCGTAATCAGTAGAATGGAGGATCTTAATGATGATGGAGGCTGCAGAAATACTTTCCACTCAACAGGGATTCACAGGAAGCCACACGTCCAGTGTGTGCTGGGCTTACCAGCTCATCTAGAGTTCATCCGCAACTGGTGAATGATGACGCTTTCTAGAAGGAGAGGAAAGACAGCATTTTCAATTCATGTGCAACTCGACCGGTAGCTGATGTAAGGATCTACACCACAGCACTTCGCCAAAAGACTGCAAATGTTAAATGACAAAACAAACAAAACCAAATATATGAGCCCAATACTATCTTTGCAGTACTTTGCTATCTGGGGGTAACTTCTCTATATATCAGCTTATATACTTTCACTCTAAGATTCTTAAAGGCCTTTGGAAACCATGTCTGCTATTTTGCTAATATTAGGAAAATATTATCTAAAGAGGAAGAACTGAACATAAAGATAGTAATTACCATATATAATCCTCATAATGGAAAAACAGACTAAGAGTGGAACTTCATTTCACAAACTCAATTCTCTCCATGATTCTGGTTGCAAACTGAACTGGATGAGAACCAAATCAAATTTTCCCATAAGGTCAACATTGAACCTAACCATTGAATTTGATTCAATTCCCATCCAATTCAGTTTGCAAACTGGAAAGAACCAAATTCCTGAACCGATGTACCAGTTATTTTCCTGACCAAACTCTTTCTGTTCTGAAAAATATTCACACCACTTTAATTACTTTTTTATGTATGTGGATTGAAGTTTTAACAAGAAGATACTCGTTCTCTGTTTCTAAGAAGTCTGTTGACACTGATGACTCACTTTTCCCTGTGGCTCCTTCTTTTTGGTTAACAGTATATGCTTTTAAATCTAAATTGGTTCTTACCAGTAAGAAACAGTTTGAGATAATTCAGATAGGCTGCCACATTATAGATACTTAATGTCTATTTGATTGTTTTTGCTTTATATTAATTTTTATGCCTACATGGACCTGTATCATCATTAGTTTTTCACTCAGTCATTTGAAAACCTGGCAGTGGGATGGTACCCTGTGCTAGACATGGAACATCAGTGAGAAAAACGAGACTGAGTTCTACCACACTGGAATTACACAAAGCAGAGGAAAGAAAATAAGACTCAGGTGATTTTTCCACCTGAAAACTGTATTAGCTCCCTGTAAACATATGGCAGTGTTGTGAATGCAGACATTTATACCAAGGTTTATCAATAGCATGCAGAAGGTTCCACCTGTTATTTTCACTTTAATTTCAATCATCTATTTACATTTTGCACTTGATCTTAGCCAAAAGGCCAAGAAGCGATTATTTACATTTTATATTTACTTCAGTAATTAATGTCTAAGTAAACATTAATTTAATCATAGCAACACGGACCTAGAGGTTCATGCTAATTCTGCACAGTGGATGATCTGACAAAAAGAAAATGTTTCCTCAATTTGGCTTCATTAGTTTTAGCTCACAAAGACCACTAGGTAGCGATGTTTCCACTCTTTTCCTCAGCTCTTTGGCTTCAATTTGAGCAAAAACATAAAAAAGCAAAGTGAAATATCCAAACGTCATATTTTCTTTTTTTATCTTTGTGAATGCTTTATTAGGACAAATCAATATTCCTGCACAAGATGATTCTTATATCATCTTAAGAAGTTCTTTAGTTCTTTAACATGTGTTCTCAAAACTGATACACCAATCCCCAATCCACTTCACAGTCATCCAATAAAAAATAAAAATAAAAAACCATCGTCTGTCAAGAAGGCAGGGTAATGCAGAAAAAATGACATTTTAACACATTACCAAAATTTAAAAAACTTTTATTTACATTTCCCCTTCACTCACTTTCCCAGATTATACTAACATTACAGCAATGGAAGGAGTTAACATCACAGCACACCTTGCAAAGTCATTGACAGGTTAACTTGGTCAGTGGAAAAATACAGACCAACAAAATAAGACCTCAGCTCTCTCATAAGCATTGCTCTCTTCTATCTCTTTCCCCCTTCTCTTATTGTTAGCTGCCTTTCTACAGAGAGGGATCATCAAGACTGGGTATGCAGACTGGATTGGCGGGGTGATTACCAGTTCCAGTTCCAGTTCTGTGAAGCCCCAGCAAGGAAGCTTTTTGTAATTCCAGCTACTGGGTAAATAATCCTGAGGTAACAAACAGCGTTAAGGGTGAAAATGAGTTATCATTCCACCCAGTCAGTGGTATGCCCCTCTGCTTTCTTGGAAGGCCTTGACCAGTGGTGACAAACCTATGCCACATGTGCCACAGCAGACTGGCTGCTCTCACTGAAGGCTCTAAAAGGTTTGCCATCCCTGGCCTAGGACAAGTAACCAAGCTTTGCACAGAAACCTGGGAACTGTGTTGGAAAAAGCAAACTCAGAGTTGGCTCAAGTCTCCTTGTGCATGGAAAGATTCACTTCTTCACACAGATGTCAATGAAACAGACATAAAGCACAGCAAGCTTTCATTCAACCTCCCAGAACAGCACTAGAAGAACAGAGCTTTGGGTTTTGCTTCATTAAGAACACAGTGACTGGAGTGTAAGAACCACTGTGTTCTTTAGGGTCAGTTTATTACAACTCATCATACCAGAAAGAATAACAGCTTAAGGCCATTTGTCATGTGTACTATATAGTAAATCAAACCTTGTCCATGGCTCCCCCCAGGCCACCTTGCAAAAGTGGACCATGGATGTGCAATCTCCAGATGCAAGACAAAAGACTAATCACTTCCATGAGGGGCTGAAGCCAGTCCCTTTTGTTTCTTTCCCAGAAGACTAAATCTATAGCAAACAGTTTCTTGGAAAACAAATCACTGGAAATCAAAAAAGGAACAATAGCATTTTGTACACAAGTAAAGCCAAGGGGTCACTGGATAGTCCTAGCATTTCTTTTGTGTGATAAAGGAGGGCGCCAGCCCTCTACTTCAGCTGTCTGGCTGGACACAGGCAACTGGCTTGGAGCTCGAGCGAGAATTTCATGTGGATAAAGCAGAGAAGAGGAAGGGACACACTTTTCTCCACATGGAAGGTGTTTTAACTAACTGCCTTAATGGATTAAGATGCTTGCTAGGCACTGGGCTTCCATGTTAAGCAGAAAACCATACATCTATAGATTTTGAGGTCTGAAAAAGTTTTAATAGATTCTTGGCTAAGCAGCTAGAAGGAATCTTTGATTTTGCTACTTCTCCAGCCCCTCTGGGCTGATTTTACCTGTGTAAAATGCTCAACAATTCTGATCTTCATAAGTGTAGGTAGTTAGAAAAGGAAAACTTCAGTTCTCCCTCTTTTTCTAACCAGCAGTGGAAGCAAATACAGATTAAACCCTTTGTGGCTTACCTAGAAAACACCAGGAGAGGAAAGGCACCCTGGGAATTAGGTCACAGTAATTCTTTATACAACAGAACAATTGCATTTAGTCTTTTCAAGGTACTTTTGCCACAATGTTACAAATCCAAACAAAAAAAGAATTAGCCAGATTCTCATTCTTCATTGCCTAGGTGTGACCAGCAGTTCTACACTAATATGCCAATTCAGTATCACTGGGGACCAGACATCTTCACTGATTTGGAAGAGAAAAACAGGGAGGTAGTGGTAGATCACATCATTTTTCCCCCCTTCCCTGAGAAGTCAGGAAATCTTTCCAAGTGAGCCATTCTTCCTCCTTGTTTTTACTAGTAGGTAGGAAGCAACGTGTATTACACACTAGAAAATCTAGCTAGATCGTATCAGTCATGAGAAACTTAGATACAGGCTCCTTTAATTAGGAGGGAGGACATAGTGCTCCCTATCTCCTCCTGAAACGTAAGGCTGAATGCACAGAGAACCAGGGCTCTGAACTACTGATCCTTGAAGGACAGGGTCACCATACATCAGTTTTCTCTGGAGCTGAAATTCTAAAAATCAGTAATTGGAAGATAAAGAAAAAAGGGAAAGCGAAGGAGGGAGGGATTACAGAGATAGCTCACTGGGAAAAGTTCCTTAGCATCTGAAAGAGCCATGGGGCAAAAGCAGAGCCCTTAGCGTGGATGCAGGGTGCTCCTGTTCACCTGTGACTACAGATGAAGAAACCAGTTCTGACCATTTAGAACCCGCACCCTCTCACGAGAACTTAAGGTAGTAACTAAAAGATTAAGATGGCAGGACTCCTCAAACTGGCACCACACAGAGTTCTAGAGACTGAAATCTCCTTATGAAGGGGATTAAAAAACATCTGAAGCAAAGAAAAAAGTTTTAAAAGATGCCCCCAAATCCTCATACTGCTAGGTTAAAGCTTTTAAAATAAAGATTGGAGAAGAAACACAAACACCAGTTGATCCACTCTTTGTATGGGATTTTGATGTTTCCTAGCTATGCATTTATTGATGTGATCTACTGAAAGAGGTCTCATAAACTGGAAATGGAAAAAAGCAATGGTAAATAAAAAGAGTGAGAAAACGTGGTGAGAATTAGTCACATTTCTATTGATTCACTCAGATTATCAAATTTGGCAGTAATGATTGATATACGTCTTAATCTCACCAGATTCTTGAATCAGGCCATGTTAAACTGTACTAAACACATTTTATAATGTGTATCATTTTATTATATGAAAAGAATAATGCTATTTTTATTTTGAAAAATAAACTGCACTAAACAGTATTTTTATGCCTCAGGTATCTACTCATTCTCATGACTTATTCATATATTCTTGTATTTCCCTAAGAACTTAGCTAATGATTCCTATAATATGACTGGACTCAGATTTACATTACAGTTTCAAGAAAAGAAAACTGGCCATATTTATTTATAACATTTTCTCTTCTAGAGAGTTCAGAGGTCCTGGATGGTCATAGGATTTTTGTCCCTTCAAAATAAACTTGTAACTTAGCATTGATCCTGAAATAATTTTGCACCAATGAAATATATATATATATTTTAAATGTCCACCCTGACGTTTTAATTTGGAGTGACTTCATGCAAGTTAAAAAGACTAGCAGGTAAGTTTATTGCTTAAAATCTTTGACTTTTATAAGCCTATATCTACACCATTAAATAGTAACTGCAGTGCCAAAGCTACCTGGTATTCCAGTAGGATTCTGCAGTGGGGGGCTAGACACATGGGAAAGTTAGCCATCTATTTTATTTTATAGGACT